TAGCCGGCGCCGTTCCGGAAATCTCTCGGTGTAGTGCTTAGGCTAGGGCTGCTATGGACGGCTAACTTCGTAGCCCGATCCAACAAAAATCAACAACCAAGTATCTAGCCGTGCAACGCGCCGAGAAAAATGCCCCAACAAATCCGGCTGGCCCAAAAAGCATACCAGTCCGGGGGCTCGTCCTAAGCCTAAGCCTAAGCCTAAGCCTAAGCCTAAGCCTAAGCCTAAGCCTAGGCCTAAGCCCTAGCCTAAGCCTCCAGCTCCAAGCCTAAGCCTAAGCCTGCTTCCAAGCCTAAGCCTAAGCCTAAGCCTAAGCCTAAGCCTAAGCCTAAGCCTAAGCCTAAGCCTGCTTCCAAGCCTAAGCCTAAGCCTAAGCCTAAGCTCCAAGCCTAAGCCTAAGCCTAAGCCTAAGCTGAGGGTCAATCGTTGGCCTACTCAGTGGAAAGCTTTGGGAACCCCCTCCACACTAGTGGGCCAGGTGGGGGGCGGGTGCGAAGCAAGCAGTGAAGCCCGCCCTGCGATTCCGCTACGAAATAGCGTCCGGAATGCGGAAACGCCCGATTTGGCTGAATTGAGGGTTAGGGGTCTTCGAGCTGCTGTTGCGCCAAGGAGCGATGTGACGGCCGAGCCAGTTAGCAACCCGGAATCATCGTTTCAAAGCGCTTCGAATGGTCTGCTTACATTGATCGGAAGCGCGCGGCCCGTTTTTGAAAAAATCCATGTGGTCCCACTTTAGTCGTAAACCATCAAAACCAAAAGTTTCAAAAAATCGTAGCAATTAAACCAGGGCCTCAGGGGCTTCGGAAGAAACTATTTTCGGTACTATTTTTGGTGCTCTTTCAGCTAGAGATGTTACGCATACGAATACGATGTGCTACTTCCGGCAGATTAGCCCGATATGCATATCTGATTTGAGAAAGAGCGCCGATAATTCGAATACGACGATCGTATTCGAACAAGCCTCGGCTAATTCCGACGCGATGATCTGGCAGGTCGGCTTCACGTCGGGATAAAAAGCTAATTTGAAATTGAAGACGAAATGCTATGCAAATATCAAAATATTGACACAGCGACCGGAAATGACCGAGAAATTGGCACCTAAATATATTCAAATTATGCATATTCTGACTACTTGTTTCCATTTTCCGGCCGTTTTCTTGGTAATATCGCTTTGCATCCCAATTAGCTTATTATCCCGATGTGATCCGTTTAAACGAATACGAACGTCGCATTCGCTTGGTTCCGACCCTAATTCGAATACGATGATCGGGTCGGAAATAAGAAATTTTTGATTCCGACGGCTTATTCGAATACGACGCGTAACTCCCATGTCGTATTCGTATGCGTAACATCTCTACTTTCAGCTCCACATCGAAGTGCGTGATGAATTTCTCGAAATTTTTTTGGTAAATTCCGAAAAAATCCATGTGGTCCCCCCTTTAGTCGTAAACCATCAAAACCAAAAGTTTCAAAAAATCCTAGCAATTAAACCAGGGCCTCCGGGGCTTCGGAAGAAACGGTTTTCGGTACTATTTTTGGTGCTCTTTCAGGTGCACACATCAAAGCGATTTCGCACGGTCGATTTCTTGCGGAATCGGGCTTGGAAGGCCTGGTCGACGAGGGCTGCCTAGTTGCAACATTCAAAAAATCCTAGCAATTAAACCAGGGCCTCCGGGGCTTCGGAAGAAACTATTTTCGGTACTATTTTTGGTGCTCTTTCAGCTCCACATCGAAGTGCGTGATGAATTTCTCGAAATTTTTTTGGTAAATTCCGAAAAAATCCATATGGTCCCCCCTTTAGTCGTAAACCATCAAAACCAAAAGTTTCAAAAAATCGTAGCAATTAAACCAGGGCCTCGGGGGCTTCGGAAGAAACGGTTTTCGGCAGTATTTTTGGTGCTCTTTCAGGTGCACACATCAAAGCGATTTCGCACGGTCGATTTCTTGCGGAATCGGGCTTGGAAGGCCTGGTCGACAAGGGCTGCCTAGCTGCAACATTCAAAAAATCCTAGCAATTAAACCAGGGCCTGCGGGGTCTCGGAAGAAACGGTTTTCGGTAGCAAAAAATACGCTCACAGATATATCTGGTTGATCTAGGGGGGGGGGCGGGGGGTCGATATGATTGCGAAATTCGTCGTAAAAAAGGTCGCATTCAAGGCCGGGTCTCAGCAGATCGCAGCTCAGGTAGATGCTAGAGCTACTCTACGTACGGGAGGGAAGGTTGAGGGAGGAGCATCAGCAACGACGATACCTCCTGGGGACCACCACCCAACAAATCCGGCTGGCCCAAAAAAGCATACCAGTCCGGGGGCTCGTCCTAAGCCTAAGCCTAAGCCTAAGCCTAAGCCTAAGCCTAAGCCTAAGCCTAAGCCTAAGCCTAAGCCTAAGCCTAAGCCTAAGCCTAGGCCTAAGCCTAAGCCTAAGCCTAAGCCTAAGCCTAAGCCTAAGCCTAAGCCTAAGCCTAACCTAAGCCTAAGCCTAAGCCTAAGTCTAAGCCTAAGCCTAAGCCTAAGCCTAAGCCTAACCCTAAGCCTAACCTAAGCATCATGCGGCCTTAAAAGCCACGCGTCTTAGCCGCCGTGCGGCCTCAAAACAGAAAAAAGCCGCGGCCGCACCGGAAGTGCGGCTGCCGCGGCGCGGCCGCATTCTAATTTTTGCCGCCGAAAAAGCCGCGCGGTCCTGCCGATTGCCATGTCTGGCCTTTTCTGAAGAACCGAAAACGATCACAGCTGGCTGCACCCTTATCCTATGTCGTACCGAGTTCAGCGACCGATTTGACCACACTTTCCCCAAAAGCGAGCGAATTTCGATATTATTTTCGGAATCAACTAACAAAACGATATCCGAAATAGCTTTGACAAAAGTTCTGGCAGCGAGATGGAGGAGAGCGAGAAAGAGAGAGAGAGGCAGAGAGAGAGATCCGAGAGGAAAAAGATAGAGAGAGAGGGAGAAAGAGAGAGAGAGAGAGAGAGAGAGAGGGAGAGAGAGAGAGAGAGAGAGAGAGAGAGAGAGAGAGAGAGAGAGAGAGAGAGAGAGAGAGAGAGAGAGAGAGAGAGAGAGAGAGAGAGAGAGAGAGAGAGAGAGAGAGAGAGAGAGAGAGAGAGAGAGAGAGAGAGAGAGAGAGAGAGAGAGAGAGAGAGAGAGAGAGAGAGAGAGAGAGAGAGAGAGAGAGAGAGAGAGAGAGAGAGAGAGAGAGAGAGAGAGAGAGAGAGAGAGAGAGATGCGGAGAGAGAGAGAGAGAGAGAGGGAGGGAGGGAGGGAGGGAGAGGGAGGGAGGGAGGGAGGGAGGAGGGAGGGAGGGAGGGAGGGAGGGAGGGAGGGAGGGGGGGAGGGAGGGAGGGGGGGAGGGGGGGAGGGAGGGAGGGAAGGAGGGAGGGAGGGAGAGATAGACCTGAGATGCGATGAGAGACATCGAGCACACATTGTCAGCCTTTTTCCACAAAACATAATGAAGCCCCCAACGGATACCGTTTACTTTACCCCCCGCCCGCCCGCCCCAGGACCCCAAATTTTTCGATATTTTCGGGACTTTTCGGGTATTGTCGGGATTTATTGACGCCATTCGATGGAGCATCAAAAGTTTAGAGCACCAGGGGATAGTTTCGGGACCCAGGGCTACCGATTGATGAACTTAAAAAAATTTTTAGAACCTTCCGGCTGGGGGTAAAGTAAACTCTTACCGCCCAAACTTTTCCATAATGCACATGAAAAGTTTATTTTTCGCCGCATATTCACCGTATTTTGTATGTACGTTGTATGCATACCGTTATTCCATCAATGTTGATCCGGTTTGTACTCGGTGACCTGCCAAATATTTTAATCGAGATTCTCTGCTTTTTCGCAAATTCTTCGCAAATCCCGGTAATCCTGTGCAGAGTTGTGTCAAAATTCAAAGTATCACATTTATCCTCGAATAGAAGCGGCGACTGTAGCTATAGAACTTTGCCAGGCGGGCCGAGCCGATGATAAAGACAAAGACTCGGCCCAAAAACGGGGGTGTGGAGGGGAATTAACATCGGCGCATTCTGGAGCGGAAAAGCACAAAGAATTCTTAGAGCAAAACCAACGTGGGGGAGTGGAGTGCGGTGGAAAATCAGAAAGTTCGAAAGATGGTGCGTTCTTTCGCGTAGGAATTGATTCCTTTCCAATTTACCCCCTGCACTCTCACAAGGAGCAACACACAATGCACAATCTAACAAAGCTGAATTTGTTCCATTTCGAAGATGTCGAAAATCAGAAAAGAAGGAGGGAGGGGCGGGGGGGTCACTAATAAAACACCGGTAATAAAAGGGGATGGGGGATGCGGGGGTTTTGAACTGGTTAAAGGGATGGGATAAGCTAGCGAGGGCTGATATCAGGGGAATTACCGACCCCACAGTACTAAACAGGGGGGTTAACATCTTGTATGTTTTACCGTCTGCGGATCGTTGTTCGGGAATATGGACGTTTAAAGGGACCTGGAAAGCGGAATCCTGGCTTCGGCCTAAGCCTAAGCCTAAGCCCAAGGAAGCCTAAGCTTAAGCCTAACCTAAGCCTAAGCGTTCTTGGTCCATTTAACCAAGTCCATCTCGGGTTTCGGGGTTAATTGTCGGTGAAAGAAGGTGAGAAAAAAGCTCTAGAAGGGGAGAAGTGGAGACAAAGTTTAAATGGACCGGCACAGGGCTGTTTTACCATTAGCTCCTCGCAACAATTGCCAGCTGTGCTTGTCCCTTTAGGGGGCGTATACTAACATAGTCGTTAGCTCTGATAACCGTCACAGAAATTGGGGATGGGGCGAAATGTCCCTTGCTAAAGAGCCGGGGGGGCGCGGCGGTGAAGCGGTAAGCTGGCCGAGAGATCGTGAGCTCAGGAGTGGCATGGTGGAAATCAGCTGTCGACACGCCTTTCAAGCACCGCACCAACCCTGAACCGCGCGAATCCCGGGGGGGAACGAAAGAAAAACTTTGGTAATAGTGGGGGGCTGACCAGGCGGGAGCACAATAAATTTTGAAAACGGGCTATTGAAGTGAGCAGCAGCCGCATTTCTTCTTTTTGATGTGCACCATTTCGACGGTGTTTGCCGGCGGCAGCTCCTCGTTGCCGTTCGGATTTTTGTGACTGAAAAATCATTTTTCTTAACAGGATTCTAACTTTTTAATCCTGGTTCTTTCGCATTATCGGGGGGACCAACGTTTTTCTTGGCAACTAATTTTTCACAAATAAATAGTGGAAGTGTTTCTAAATGTTTTCTTTACTATTTCTAAACGTGAAGACGTTACAAACCTGTATTCAATGAATATCAAAAATCACGATTTTAGATAATTTTTCTGTTTGAAATATAGTTATATATTACTAAAAAACTATAAAAAGTACTACGCAGCGTTCCTCTACACCCGCTCACCTGTAGTGATCGGGCCGTCCCTGGTCGACGAGAGGCTGGGATTCACGTTGCTTCTTCTCCTGCTCGAAGCCGATGTCATTTATTGAGAGCCCGTTCTGGTAGTAGGCCGGTGATTCTCTGAAATTTAGAATTTGAATTTAGGTTAGAAATTACAGGTAAGGACTATCGAAACGACTAGGAGCTACTATAGAGGGCTAGGCATGCCAAGTTAAGAGAGGTTTTAAGGCCGACTTCGGGATATGGACGTTCGGATCATGGTGGCTGGGTATTTTCAAGCATCAATTATTGTTGTATTGGCTCAGAGTTTCCAAAATAACGCCATCGTTTAGAATTTTCCGACGGTCTCAAAATCAGGGCCCCTGATGAATCCGATATCCCGTTGTCGCGGCCTGGAAAGGGGTGCTGAACTATAGCATTTAGTCTATTGTATAGGAGGAGATCAGGCTTAAGCTTTATTCCAGGCGTAAAAAAGCGATACATTGTGGTTTAAAGGAACCGGGAAGCGTCTACGTCGACCTTTTCCGGCTAGAGGCACGACTAAAGTCTGTTTCCCATATCTTTCAACGCCCTTTCAGCTTAAGCCTGCTACGAAGCCTCATCTACCATGTGTATACCTTTCCGGTGGAGGCGCCGGGGCCGCGGTCTCTTGCAACCGCGGCTTCACCACCTCGGGAGGACTGAAAATCGGGCGGGCGATGAAACATTATTGACTTTAGACTTTGAAGTATTTGTCTTTGATTTTTAAATCATTTTAAAAAATTTTAGTGCATGAAAACTAGCCTATAAAATAAGCCGATGCACTTTAAGCCTATAAAATAACACCGAGACCTCGAGATCCCTGAACTGCTCCAGCTCGTCGGTAATGTAACCAAAGGCCATGCTCACCTGGAGTAGGGCTGTTTGACCGGTGTCGTGTTCGCCGATCCGGGATGCGATGGCGGAAATGGTTTATGCAAATATTGCTCGACGATCGGGTCGACCTCATGGTATAATTGCTCCTGGGGTTTGAACGGGTTCTCGTGCTCCTCCATCCTGAAATGGATTACCGTACACTGGGGTGGGAACATTTTTGGGTTATGGTAGTACGCGACACTCCAGTTGACAGTGTTGCACGCACACACACGGGAATTCCGAGAATTTGCACAAAAAGCCGATTCGCCTTTGCTTTTAGCGTTAAATGACTTACGAGCAGGCGTCCGTCATTTTGCAACTAATGAAACTTTTTTTCTTAGCGTCTGATTTTTAAAATATAAATTGCGGAGTTGTTTACAAATGGTTTTCTACTATTCCTAAACGCAAAAACATCACAAATCTAAATTTGAAAAATATCGATTTCCCCACCGAAAATGGCGGATTTTGACAAAAATTTCGCGTTTTTGGATAGTTTTTCTAGTTCAAATATAGTTATAGATCACCAAACACACTACGAAAACAGCTCTGACAACTTAATATGCATTTTTAGACTTAGACCCCCCTCGATAATGAGAAAGAACCGTTCAGATCAAGGCAAAAACTAAATCCGTTTTGTACACGGTTTCCCGTCTTATTATGCCATTTTAATGCTGCAATGCTGCACTAACTTGTAACTTCTCAATGGCGGACTCGTCGGTCTCCTCGTGTCCTCTTCGATTTCCGTGGGAGGGGCGATGGGCCGGATCTCGGACGAATTCTCGGCAACGACTCGCACTCGTGTCGCCGGGGCTGATGGGCTGAAGATGGGCGCATTAGGGGTACTTTGGTAATGATAATGTTCATGTCCTTGATAATGATACATTTTTTGAAGCCAACGACAAAAAGAAAAATGGGAAGAATGACCGGAAATATAAAAAATATAAGATGAGTTTTTAAGATAGGAGCTAAAAGAAGATCAACAAAAAACCTCGGAAAGGGGAGGGTAGCTCCGGCTGAGGGTTCGAGAGCGAAAAACAAAAACTTTTGGCAAGTGGAAGTTCCTGACCCCTCTCCAACTAACCAGGCCTAAGAATAAGCCTAAGCCGAAGCCAAATCTTATCAATATGTACATTGATGCGACTCACATCGTCCAAGAGCCCTCAAAAAGTTGACCATCGTCGGCATCATGCCGCAATTTACCCTTGGAATTCCCCATAGTTTGAAGCGGGGAATTATGCGGATAGTTTGGACTAGCGGGCGAATCAATGGTCCAACGGGGCGGCAGGTTCTGGCAACTCCCCAGGTGAGTATACAATTCTATCTACTTCTCTCTCTCTCTCTCTCTCTCTCTCTCTCTCTCTATCTCTCTCTCGCCTTCGTTTTTCCGCCCCCACTTTTCAATGCGGGCGCTTCCCCTCACTGCCAACCCCGCGGTGGCCGATCTCTATTTGCGGCCGGCGCGTCCTGTATTTCGTTATTATTCCGCCGCTGTGCACCCGGCACACCCGAAAACACAACAAGCTTTCCCTGTGCGAGGTAGCTCGTTAAATGGCGCTTAAAACGGATCAGAACGGGATGCGGAAAATCGCTTCTAATGGTGCCCGAAAAGCTGTTTTTGGTAGGCTTAGCCTGCACACCTGGTTTCGACTTAGGTGTCGACTTAGGTTTAGACTTAGATGACCTTACTACCGAAACTCTATGGTCGCGCTAGGATACTTTCCAGTTGTTTGCCAGAAAACTGGAACGAGACACCATTGCCCAGCATCAAATATTTATGCTCCGGCCCCCGGGGTACTCGGCCTGAAGGGGTTGGGAAACTGAAGCTGTTGCCTACCATCGCGTTAAAAATTTTAGGTATTGCACGAAACGATAGCGTCACTATGAAATAGACACGAAAAGTAACCTAGCATTGGAAATTTAGCACAAGAGGGCTGTCTAAAGAAGGGAAAATTCGCTTCCAGAATTGTTGCGTTTGGCGGATCGAAGCGAGTGAGCTAGGCTTGAGGCGTCTGGCGTATTAGGGCCATCCGATAATTGCGTTAGAGGTTCGGGCGGGGGGGGGGTAAAACTGACTATACGGTCGGTTAGGGAGATGGCACCGCAACGAACTGCTGATGAAGCATATGAGCTTAAGCCTAAGCCTAAACCTTAGCCTAAGCTCAAGCCAAAGCCCAAGCTTAAGCCTAAGCCTGCGTATTCCAAGACCAACCCGACCACAAAAATCAATCCTAAAAATGACATTCCCAGAAGAACCACACTGTCGCGTGCCGAATAGTGCAGAATAGTGGATTTCGGGAGGGTTTGGGAGATGCGCGTGGAGCGGGGGAAGATGTCCGGGGAATTTGGGCCGAATTCCGGGGGGGGGGCAGAGCGAGGGCCCAAGGGATGGGCTCCATGTCATAGCCCCGGGCCCATCTGATTGGCGACCGAGATAAGCGGATATGCAGGATATGCCAAATGAGCTCAGAAACGGAGATGATGACATTAATTGGAAGATTTCCGAAGTTCGAATTCTAAGCCTAAGCCCAAGCCTAAGCACGTGTCCCTGGCAACACTGGTTCTGGTCTGTTAGCGGGGGAAGGGGGTTAGCGGGTGGGGGAATCAAATTTTTCCCAATGATTCTTAACGGTCCTATAACAAAACACAAACCATTTGTACAGCATTTTACAGAATTTTGTGCATATAAAAATAAAATACAAATCAAAAAATTTTGAAATTTTTCTAAGTCTTGCTGAAAAACGTATGAAAATGACCAAAAAAGGTCAAAATTTTCGAATTTTCGAAGCTTTAAAAATATGATTATAATTTTCTATCAATTAAAAACTACTAAAACACTATAAAAATTAATAATATTTCATCAACAGGTACAAAAATCTCTGGAAAGCCCTATTTCGCCAAAAAGACCATTAAGCGGAGGGTGGTTCAAATATCGGCAAAATCGGCAAATGAGCTTCAGAAAATTGGGCGGAAACGGGGTGGGGGAGGCAGTGGCCGGACGAAGGGTGCGGGCCCCCGAATGACAAATTGTTTTTATTGGGTCCCAGGGTGGGGCCCAAATTGGAGAGAGAGAAGGGGCCCCCGGAGCGGGTCCCAGGCCAATACCCCCGAATGGACAGACGGCTTTTTGTCAGCAATTCCCGGGGATTAGCCGGCTGACAGACAGCTCGGCTGCTGGCGTCACTATGCGTCTCAATTATCTCTCGCTGCTCTCTCTCTCTCCCTCTCTCTCTCAGTAACTATCTCTCTCTCTCTCTCTCTCTCTCTCTCTCTCTATCACGGTCGCTAAACGTTAAAACCTCAAAACCCAGACCCGCGAAAAATACATAAAATTCCTAGCAGCACATCGGGCGCTAATGCATGCGCATAGAAGTGTGGCCCCCATATGGGCCCTTGGTCACACCTCGAATACCTTCCGCAGCACATCAAAAGAACATCAAAGGCCCATTTTTGCGCGGGGGGGGTAAACAGACACACAAGGCACTCACCAGCCCGGTTGCCCGCAATTATTTCGGTCTCTCTCTCTCTCTCTCTCTCTCTTCCCTCTCCATCTGTCACAAAAATGCCGCTCAATGGAATGACCTTCGGCACCCACTTAAAGTCGCCCTCGCGCCGCCCTCGGTACCATAACGGTTTACCGCGCATGGTAGATGCACATATTTTATTTTCAATTAAAATGCCGAAATTCAGAATAAATTCAGGCTTCCGACGTATGAAAGAAACCCAGATATTTTAGTCTATGCCTAAGCCTAAGCCTAAGCCCAAGCGACGGCAAGCCAAGACCGAGCCAACGCAAAGTCAAAAAGTAGAATCCCAGCAAAACCGAGCAATCGGGTCCACAGCAAAAAAAATTGAAGGCGCTCTCCGTTGGCCGGGACGCGGAATTAGCCAAGCGTTCGGCGGCAGGGGAGTGGGCGGGCGGGGGTAGGGGATTAAATTAAATGGGCAAATTAGCCGGCTTCACATGAAGAGAGGGAGAGGGAGAGAGAGAGAGAGAGAGAGAGAGAGAGAGAGAGAAGAGAGAGAGAGAGAGAGAGAGAGAGAGAGAGAGGGAGAGAGGCAGAGAGGCAGAGAATCCCTAGAAAAAAGGCGGATGGGCGGACGGGGATGCCCATGGGCACACATACACACCACGCCTCGCTAGGTATGCATTTTCGAGTGACCACAGGCGAGCGGAGGGCGGCCTCTCGAAAAAAGCGGGGCCAAAAAGAAATGCCCCGCGGGCATGAAAAGCGGCCCTTGCCCCCCTAGACCCCCGAAAAATGGCTGCCAGGTATTTATGGGCGGGCAATGTTGCGAGCGGGCAATCGAAAGCATTTCTGGAGGCTAGACTACAGAGAAAAAATGTTTCTGAGGAATCTTGGAATGTCAGAAGTTTCCTGAATAATCGTGCTAGCAAAAACGCTAAAATCCCGACATTCAAAATCCCGACAACCAAAATCCCGACAAAATGTGTTATCTCCGGTCATTTTCCCCAACAATGGTTTTAAACTTTAAGGTTTCCGGCTGTCGGTATTTTGGTTGTCGGGATTTTGGCATTTTCGCCCTGCTAGCATGCTGTTTTTTTGCTAAATAAATATTCTTCTAAGGTTTGTAACTTGGCTTGTCGACACTTTGTCGGCTTTTTCTCAAGAATCTATGCTAGCCTGTCCTTTCCTAAAGAACCCCTACTGTAAAGAAAACCACCAAGAAAAGGCAGAAAATGCCGCGGACCTTGGTACCCCGAGTACGAATGGCAACTCCTCCACACTGGTCTCGTCAATACTCCTTCTCGTTCTCTCACTCAACCCACAGCTTCTCCTCCTTAGTCTTTAGAGGGCTGGCCCCGATGGGCCGTTCCTTAGCCGAGGGCCCAGTTGAGGGTTTTGGGTCCTAAGGGGGGCAGACGGGCCACATTAGGCCCCAGGGCCCTTTGTGTGTGTTGCCGAATCGATCCTTGTAGCCTCGGGGAGAGGGGAAGGGCTTGTTATTTCGGGTCGAGCTCAATTTCGTTTTTTTTTCGCGCTAAAGGGGGTAACCCTGGAATGCCAGACCAAGACCATTGACCGCGGATGGGTCAGAAAAGTGTCGATTGTGGTTTTTCGGAAGCTATTGTAGGGAAAAACGCCAAAATTCCGACATTAAAAATCCCGACAAACATAATCACTACAGCCATGATCCCGACCGGCCATATCCCGAAAGCTAATCCCGACACCCAGAACCAGAAAACCAGAAAACCCAGATTTTAAAGCAATTTATGGGTATAACGGCCGAAATAATCACATTTCGGGTGTCGGGATTTTGAATGTCGGGATTATGGCTGGAATCCAAACGCCGAAATCTACGCCTAAGCCTGGCGAATCCCTTTAAAAGTAGAACGTCTTAACCGGATCAGCCGCGACCGGGCTGGGAACGTCTAAAGGGAGATGGAAATAAGGATGAGAGGGAGGATGGTGGAATGCAATTGTTCCTGTCTGCCCGTGGCTCCGATAGAAGGGGCATCCAATAATGGGCAGGGCAAGTCCATCTAGCCGCACGTGCAAATGGGATGGGGACCCATTGAATTCTAGTCAATACTATTCATTCCTCGGACCGGCGTGCATCTTAGAGGCATCTTTAATTAGAGCTTATCAAATTCTAGGTAGGGGCTGGGGCCATGAAACTAGAAGGGGAATATCAGGAGGGGACCATTTTTAACATTTCGGTGGGTTTGGTGTTAGCGAGGGAGGCGGGGATAGTGGCGTAAGTCTAAGCCTAAGCCCAAGCCTAGGCCTAAGCCTAGGTATAAGATCCGCAGTAAAAAATGACCAAACAAGTCAAAATTTTCGGATTTTCAAAATTTCAAATTTTTTTGTATTGACTATCTATCAAAAACTACTATCAAAAAGGCTCCAAAAATTCATAATATTTCTTCAACAGGCAGGTACAGGTCGAAAAAACAGAAAATGTTTAAAATCGCCCACCCCGCGCTAACAGCCCAGAACCCCCATTAATGCATGGATAGGATACGAGGGGCAACGAAAGCCGAAAGCCGCGTATTGTTTGGCTTCCAGCGCAGCTCGGCACATATGGATCGCATGGAGGGTGGGAACGGATGGCCAGCGCTCGCTCGATCGATCATCAAGACATACAAATAGAGAAAACTGCCATTAAATAAGGCAAAGACAAACCGATTCGCTGGTCTTAGCCAAGCTAGCAGAGGTGCTTAAGAAAATGAGAAGCTAGCAGAGGTTGTTAGGG